TAGATATGTACACAGGTCAAACTACAAAAAAGCCACCGCACAGAAAAAGCGAACACGAATGCGATGAAATAGTACAGTACCAAGAGTAAGGGAACTAACTAGTAACTCCAAAAATGCGACTCCAACGGCGACTCTAGCGACATGACTATTACCTGAAAAAAAAACAAGGGTAGTTAATACACAAGGCAAACTACGAAAAAGCCACTGCACAGAAAAAGTAAACACGAATACGACGAACTCATACAGTACCAAGGGTAAGAAAACTAATCAGAACTCCATAAACAGTAACTCCAATACCGATTTCAACGGCGATGAGACTATTACCTAAAAAAAAAAACAAGGGTAGTTAGACATGTACACAGGTTAAACTACGAAAAAGCCATACAGAAAGAGCGAACATGAATACGACGAAATCGTAGAATACCAAGGTAAGAGAAACTAACTAGTAACTCAAAAAATAGCGACTCCAACGACGACTTCAGCAACGAAACTATTAAATAAAAAAAAAACAAGAATAGTTACTATATCAAATAGACACAAGTTAAACTACAAAAAAGCCATCGCACAGAAAGAGCGAATACAAATACAACGAAATCGTACAACTAACCAGTAACTCCAAAAATGGAGACTCCAACAGCGACTCCAATGGTGACTCCAATGACGACTCCAGTGACAAGACTATTATCTAAAAAAAAAAACTAGAGTAGTTAAACATATACGTGGGTCAAACTACGAAAAAAAAGCCATCACACTGAAAGAGTGAACACGAATGCTATGAAATCAGTAACTCCAAAATGTCAACTCTGACAACAACTTCAACGATGACTCCGGTGACAACTCCAGCAACAAGACTATTTATTGCCTGAAAAAAAAATAAAGATTGGCTAAACATGTATACAAATAAAACTAAGAAAAAGCGAAAGCAGAGAAAAAAACAATGATTATCAATAATCATTGTTTATATATTCGCATATGACCCGTGACAAAAATGTCATGTAACAGGATGTAACAAGAACATTTATCCTTTAATATATAGTGACTAATTTTTAAATTTTCAATATATTATTAATTAAAATTAAGTTTGCTTGCAATATCAAGACT